GTAGATGCAAATATCGTTTTTATTTTCGAAACGGTCAGTTTTGTGCTGCTTGTGATTTTCGGGTTGCGATTTTTGGTTACGGTTATAGAGAGACACAGTTTTGTTTGTCAGTGCCTTTACTTTTTTTTCGAGATATTTTTTACCATAGACAATGAACGGGTAAGTGACTAATTAGATAATTATTTGTAAATCTGCGAGTGAATTATCCTAAAGCCTTTAATTAACTAATCAACCGCTGTTTATTGACGTTTAAGTTTCGCAAAATTTAAAATAAAAAGAAAAAGGGAATGCTTCTTCGAAAGAGCAAAAAAAGCAAGGGCCTTTTTTACCGATAATTTTTTGAAATGCCAGGGGTTAGTTTTTCTTTTTTCTTCGCGTGTAGCCTAGAGAAGACATTTACCTGATTCAGTTTTTTATCTGCATTATACAGGTGCGTCGCTATTGAAGTATTACGTTGCCACCGGTGCCTACTCAGGGCCGACACTGTCTGCCCTGAAGCGATATTCGCTTGCGATGGCGTCGAGGCGCATACGTTCTGCGCCTCGTGTGCCGATGTGATTGGCTGGTTGCAAAATGAACCCCCGCTACTTTGCCCCTTTTGCGGGATGATTGTTTTTCGCTCCAGGGTGCTGAAAATCGATAGTTGCGAGGTTATCCGATGCGATTCTACAATGTTCACGATAAGAAGAACACATGCCGACAAATTTCAAGATGCTCATCGATCGTGTGAAGAAAATATCGTGAAAATTCGTTTCAGGAAGAAAGAACTGCATGAACTAGAGATGATTTGTCATGAAGATTCTTTAGATTTCGATGTGAATGGTTATTGTCAAATGAAAATGGAAAATGTAAATTTTTACCATGTTCATACTATAAATCATAGATGGGCATTACAAAATCAACGTTTCACATAATTTTTTAAAAGTATTTATACAATTCAAGTTAATAACATTTTTTTACCATCGACATAATTTATAACGCCAATGTTTAAATAATTTATATACTTATCTAACTATTTCAAATAGATAATTTCCAATTCATTTCTCGGAATATTTTGATTTTTTTTAATTTATTATAATAATAAAAAAATTGGAATATCTGTTCAGATAAAAAGTACTTCACATCATTTCTTAAAATAAAATCTCAAAATTCCCCAAAGTTAATATACTTAAAACGAAAAACACTTTTATACTTCATTCCTTTCTACAAAATTTATAAACACATGATTTTTCTAAATAAATAAATAAAATAAAAAAATAAATAAAAATTTTTCTCCAAAAAAAAATTAAACAAAATAAAAATTTTATATATAAACACACAACTTTATAAAAGTTCAAAACGATATCAAATTCTCACCCCATCTCCAACCGGTCTCTAATTGAATTTTAATGACCTTTTCCATATAAAAGAAACTACCCTTCCAACTTTTATTTACCACCGGTGACAATAAACGCGAAACATAATTGGACAGCCATCTCCGGCGCCATAAAGAACGCGAAGATAAAATACAACAAGGCCAGGTCCGTGAAGGACGGCATCAAGGTGTTCCCAGAGACCACCGAAGACTACAGGAACTTAATCAAGTTCCTAAACGCCCACAATGCGGAGTACTACACGTACGCATTAAAGGTTGAGAAAAAAACCAAGATGGTCATAAAGGGCCTCTTTAAAGAACTACCCCTCACAGAGATCGAGGAAGACCTGAAGGCACAAGGTATAGAAGATGCAAAAGTAGTTCAGCTACTGAAGAAAAAGAGGGGAGACAAAGGAGAGAAACTGGTCTCCGAGTTCTTCATTGTGACGACTTGCAATGAAAACATAAAAAAGATTACAAACATTTGCTCCGGAAAGGTCACGCTCGAGGAGCCAAATAAAATCAGTGAGGTACCGCAATGCCATACGTGCCAAAAGTTTGGCCACGGCCAAAGTAGATGCACCTTCCAACACAGGTGCGTCAAGTGCGGCAAGGACCACCCCACCCGGGAATGCACCATTCCGTCGGAGCCCAAAACGGGGAACGTGAAAGTGCGCAAACTGCGGCGGCCCCCATGTAGCAAGCTACAGGGGTTGCCCCAGCGTCCCCAAGACCGACGCACAAAAGAGGAGGGAAATTCAAAGAAAACAAGCTCCCCCCACGAGGCAAGAACCACCACAACCACCCAGACAGGCTCCTACTCAACAACCAAGGCAAGTCACGCCGCAAATTCAACAACAGGACATTACAACTATCCTGGCGTCGCTACAAGCCATTTTACTGAGATTAGCCCCCCAGTAAATGGCCATACAAATCAAGCCCACGTCCTTGAGAGCGACAACGTGGAACATACGGGGCATACGGGCCAACAAAGCCGATATCGAAGAATATCTGGCAGAATATGACGTAGACATACTAGGGCTACAACAGACACTCATAAGAGGCGGGACGAACATCAGATTCCACAACTACGTCATATACAGAAGAGACAGCCCAAACGGAAACGCCCGAACAAACGCAGGAATCGCGATACTAGTGAAGGAATCACTAGACCACGAATACTTAGGGATTCAAGACACCGGACTGGACGCCATCACCGTAAGAGTGAACATGAGGGACGGAACCACGCTCAAGATCACCACTGTATACAGGCAAAGTACTGTCAACATCACGGCAGAAGACATAGCTACCCTAATGATGGGAAGAGAATCCCAAATAATAATAGGAGATTTCAACAGTCACGCCAGAAGCTGGAACAGCAGGCAGTACTGTCCAAATGGAAGAACATTGGAAGCCGAGGTAGCAAGAAATGGGGGAACGGCCATCGGACCGGACGAGCCGATCCATTATCCCGACAATATAAACAATCGCCCTGATTTGATTGACATAGCCATAATCAAGAACCTGCGAATGCCCTACGCCATAGCAACGATGAACGAAGGTAAGTACAAGGTAAGAAGGACGGACTGGAAAGCGTTCAAGGAGAAATGCGCACAAAGGATTAGCCTGGCAAGAAGACTCGTAACGAGACAAGACCCGGATGAAGAGATCGCCACCCTGGAAGGCACGATCCTGCAGGCCTATGAGGACTCAACGACTACCGAAATACGCAAAAAAGACAAAAGAATAGGCGGACCACTCCCTCCACATATCGACAGGAAAATCAGAGATCGGAGAAGACTCAGGAGAATCTATTGGAGAAATAGAATTGAGCAAAACAGAATAACCCTGAACCGAGCATCTAACCAACTGAAGGAGATGCTACGCCAGCACAGAAACAGACAATGGAAAAGAAAAACCGGAGACAACACTATGTGGAGAATGCAAAAGGTATTGCGGAATCCCAGGACCACGATTCCACCAATACACGGAGAAAATGGTCTAGCATACACCAGCTTAGAAAAAGCGGAAGCATTCGCGGACTGCCTGGAGCGCGAAGGCAGGACAAACACCGAAGAAAACGAAGAAACGGAAGAAATAGAACGCAAAATGGCCAGACCAGCAAGGGAGGTTAGAGAACAGGATGACAGTGAGGAAGTCGCTGATCCAATAACCCCTAAAGAAATAGTTGCGCATATAAAGAACTCCAGAACGAGAAAAGCTCCAGGACCGGACCAAGTGACCAACATAATGTTAAAGAACTTACCAAGAAAAGGTTTCGTGGCAGTCACCAATATAGGCAACGCAATCCTCAGGCTGAGGTACTTCCCCGACGCCTGGAAGGAAGCCTCGGTGACTATGATTCCCAAACCAAGAAAAAACAGAACTTTTCCACAAAATTACAGGCCTATCAGTCTAGTAAGCAGCATGAGCAAGATCATCGAAAGAGCTATCCTCACAAGAATTAAGACCTTCACGGAGGCAATGCAGGTATTACCTGAAGAACAGTTCGGGTTCAGGGCAGGACACTCCACCTAAATGCAACTTCTAAGACTCGTCGAACAAGCCGCAGAAGGCATCGAAAGACAACAAGCAACAGGATTGGTATTACTAGACATAGAGAGAGCCTTCGACCGAGTCTGAAAACAAGGACTCGTGGGAAAGATGAAGACCATAGGATACCCCAACTGGATCTGCAAACTGACGGATTCCTATTTGAGGAATAGGAGGATCCAGGTGAAAGTAGGGCAAGAAAAATCGCAACCGAGGATCTTGGAAGCAGGAGTCCCACATCCCTCCCCATCTCTACACGATATTTACCCACGACGTACCGAAACTCCAAAGAACCGAACTTGGACCGTACGCAGATGATACAGCCTTATCATTCAGGACACCAAACGTAGATTAAGTAACGAGAAAAATGCAAAGAGCACTCGACGATTTGGAAAAATGTTGCACCAAATGAAAAATAAAAATAAACGCCAACAAAACGGAGGCAGTGCTGATCACGAAGAAAAGAATAAGACCCCGCGAAACACTCAACCTCAACGGAGAGGACATCGAGTGGAAGGACTCCGTAAAATATCTCGGGGTGAAGATTGACAAAAAACTAATGTTTAAACAGTACATAGACGACAATATAGCCAAAACCAGGGCAGTAGGGACTCAACTATATCCTATCTTAGGGAGACACAGCGAGATGAACCCAAACAACAAGGTCACGCTGATAAAGGCGGTTATAAGACCGACACTGACCTATGCATCTACTGCATGGGACTTTGCGGCAAAAACCTACATGGAAAGGCTCAGAGCTTGCGAGAGCAAAATCATCAGGCGGGTAGTAGGAGCTCCATACTACGTAAGAAACGAAAATATCAGAAGAGATCTGAAACTCAACACTCTGTTGGAGTTAGTCGTGGATGTTCAAACACACCGCCGCTTCGTGGGTGGCTCTCGATATACCTACCCCGAGACCATAAACACTGCAAATTCTGTTTTCTCACACAAAGTCGTAAAAAGACAGCGGCATCGAAATGAGGGTTGAGGGTTGGGTGATGGTTAGTTTTGCCGCCGAACCTTTTAGCCTCATTTAGTCGCGGATGTTCAAATGCGCTTGTAGTCCTATATTAAAGTGGAAAGTGTGTGGTAGATGCAAATATCGTTTTTATTTTCGAAACGGTCAGTTTTGTGCTGCTTGTGATTTTCGGGTTGCGATTTTTGGTTACGGTTATAGAGAGACACAGTTTTGTTTGTCAGTGCCTTTACTTTTTTTCGAGATATTTTTTACCATAGACAATGAACGGGTAAGTGACTAATTAGATAATTATTTGTAAATCTGCGAGTGAATTATCCTAAAGCCTTTAATTAACTAATCAACCGCTGTTTATTGACGGTTAAGTTTCGCAAAATTTAAAATAAAAGGAAAAAGGGAATGCTTCTTCTAAAGAGCAAAAAAAGCAAGGGCCTTTTTTACCGATAATTTTTTGAAATGCCGGGGGTTAATTTTTCTTTTTTCTTCGCGTGTAGCCTAGAGAAGACATTTACCTGATTGAGTTTTTTATCTGCATTATACAGGTGCGTCGCTATTGAAGTATTACGTTGCCACCGGTGCCTACTCAGGGCCGACACTGTCTGCCCTGAAGCGATATTCGCTTGCGATGGCGTCGAGGCGCATACGTTCTGCGCCTCGTGTGCCGATGTGATTGGCTGGTTGCAAAATGAACCCCCGCTACTTTGCCCCTTTTGCGGGATGATTGTTTTTCGCTCCAGGGTGCTGGAGCGAATGGCTTTTTTGGGAGAAAGGTAAATGTTTTTGTTAAAAAAAAAAGGAAGCAAAATAAATAAATTAAAATAACTCGCTATATTCTTGTTCATCATAGAAGACGCCAAGAAATGGAGAGGATGCCTGGCCCTCCACCCTTAATCCCAATTCAGGAGATCCCGAAGTAACTAATTTCACCCCTTATTTTAAAATAAAAATACTAACACTTTTTTCAACCAAAAAAAAATAGCTTCCAAGACGTAATCTCCATCGGATCCAGCGAGGAGACAGCGGAATTCCCACACCATGGCGGGGAAGTTAGACCGGGTTCGCCAAGCTCGGGGAGTAGCACCGTAAGCTACATTTTCGAGTTGCCGCCTCCCTTGGATCCTGAGGAGTCGCTCGATTCGGGATATGGACACGAACATATTTAAAAAAAGTACGAGCGGGTATTTCCACGATAACGCTGACACCGTTAAATTTCTAATTTTCTTTTTTCAGATTCCGGAATATAAATATTTGCTCGTTACCTCTCGTGTTTTATTTCCTCTGTCCTTGGTGCGCAATAAAAGCACAGTTTGTACCCGCGAGGGTACACATTCGCAGAATTATATGTTTTTAAAATAAATGTTTTGGTCAATATTCACTAGGTGGGGTTACCTTATTCAAGAAAATCTTATTCCAAGAGGGGACACTAGTTTACATTCGAACCGCTAGAGGGTGCAGATGGTCACGCGAACAATATGATCAAGTCTCATTGACGCCATTGCTTTTCTTAGGGGTGGGAAAATATCTGGGCTCTGATTGGCTTCGCCGCCATCGGAAACTAGAGGAGGAGGGATCGATTAAACCCCACATTTCTGGTTGCTTATCCAATGGGGGCCAGTTTCAAGGGATTTTGGGTAAAGGCGGAGGAGCTAGAGAGTCGTGGGTAAGGAGGACACTCCACAAAAAAAGGGAGAGGAGTGGGGGAAGCCTATCCTGTACCAATAAACTACTAACGCAATACGCGCTGGCACACTTCCAACACCCCCTCCATGTAAAGGATAAAGAAGACTGGAGACGCTACAATAACAGCGTTGACGGCATCATCCTGGACGATCTAGACTTCCCCAATTGCAGTCCCCTCACCTTACTCAAACTACTCGATATGGAGACGCCCATCACCCAGAACATCAAATACGGGGCAACCAGAATTCAAGCAGGTACACCCAGGATAATTTGTGTAAACCACTTGGATCTGTTTTGGCCCAAAGGGATACACACGGAAACAATTAAAGCCTGCGAAAGACGAATAACAATTGTACACATAGAAGCACTACTCTTTAACTACCGCGCCACAACACCTGACAACCCGATACCTCAACACCTACTACCAACACCAGACAAACGAACAGCAAAAAAACAATCAAAACCGTGCAACCTGTGCAACAACCCAACAACCTAAGAATTCTGTTGGAAATGCAAATACGACCTAACACTGGAGCTACAACAACTCGACATTGAAGAAAACGAAAACGGACCCACCACGAGCGCATCCACCAAAAACCTGGAACACGAAGCCTCCGACTGAAACTATATAGCATGTGTGTGCCTTGTATTACGTCATTAATAAATATATTATATTACACCTACTGTGGTTCCTTTAGTTCCTATGGTAGAGCACACACATCATACCTAGTTTCAATATTTCATTATGTGTGTCTACCCCTACCCCACGTTCGTATTTCCCGCTAAATCTATTCTCTTTTTCATTGGTTTATTTTGGTTTGTCTCATTTTCTATATATTTCATTGGTCAACCCCGTCGCGGGCGGTAGCCACCCCTTCAGGGGTGGCCCAACGAAAGGCGCATGCGCCCACGCATTTTGGAGGCCAATTACACAATTACGATCAATTAATTACCGATATATTTTCGAATAATAGAATTTAAAAGTCGTCAATAAATTAGTTAAAATTACAACACTTTTCTAAAATTTCATAATGTACCATATAATAGTTGTATAATTTATGACATTAACAATAAAAATATTTCAATTGTAATATTAATAATATTGAAAATTTAAGATTTTTAACCTCATCGATAGTTGTGAGGTTATCCGATGCGATTCTACAATGTTCACGATAAGAAGAACACATGCCGACAAATTTCAAGATGCTCATCGATCGTGTGAAGAAAATATCGTGAAAATTCGTTTCAGGAAGAAAGAACTGCATGAACTAGAGATGATTTGTCATGAAGATTCTTTAGATTTCGATGTGAATGGTTATTGTCAAATAATTTATAACGCCTATGTTTAAATAATTTATATACTTATCTAACTATTTCAAATAGATAATTTCCAATTCATTTCTCGGAATATTTTGATTTTTTTTAATTTATTATAATAATAAAAAAATTGGAATATCTGTTCAGATAAAAAGTACTTCACATCATTTCTTAAAATAAAATCTCAAAATTCCCCAAAGTTAATATACTTAAAACGAAAAACACTTTTATACTTCATTCCTTTCTACAAAATTTATAAACACATGATTTTTCTAAATATATTAATTATTGTCCCAAATAAAATTTTTCTACAAAAAAAAAATTAAACAAAATAAAAATTTTATATATAAACGCACACCTTTATAAAAGTTCAAAACGATATCAAATTCTCACCCCATCTCCAACCGGTCTCTAATTGAATTTTAATGACCTTTTCCATATAAAAGAAACTACCCTTCCAACTTTTATTTACCACCGGTGACAATAAACGCGAAACATAATTGGACAGCCATCTCCGGCGCCATAAAGAACGCGAAGATAAAATACAACAAGGCCAGGTCCGTGAAGGACGGCATCAAGGTGTTCCCAGAGACCACCGAAGACTACAGGAACTTAATCAAGTTCCTAAACGCCCACAATGCGGAGTACTACACGTACGCATTAAAGGTTGAGAAAAAAACCAAGATGGTCATAAAGGGCCTCTTTAAAGAACTACCCCTCACAGAGATCGAGGAAGACCTGAAGGCACAAGGTATAGAAGATGCAAAAGTAGTTCAGCTACTGAAGAAAAAGAGGGGAGACAAAGGAGAGAAACTGGTCTCCGAGTTCTTCATTGTGACGACTTGCAATGAAAACATAAAAAAGATTACAAACATTTGCTCCGGAAAGGTCACGCTCGAGGAGCCAAATAAAATCAGTGAGGTACCGCAATGCCATACGTGCCAAAAGTTTGGCCACGGCCAAAGTAGATGCACCTTCCAACACAGGTGCGTCAAGTGCGGCAAGGACCACCCCACCCGGGAATGCACCATTCCGTCGGAGCCCAAAACGGGGAACGTGAAGTGCGCAAACTGCGGCGGCCCCCATGTAGCAAGCTACAGGGGTTGCCCCAGCGTCCCCAAGACCGACGCACAAAAGAGGAGGGAAATTCAAAGAAAACAAGCTCCCCCCACGAGGCAAGAACCACCACAACCACCCAGACAGGCTCCTACTCAACAACCAAGGCAAGTCACGCCGCAAATTCAACAACAGGACATTACAACTATCCTGGCGTCGCTACAAGCCATTTTACTGAAATTAGCCCCCCAGTAAATGGCCATATAAATCAGGCCCACGTCCTTGAGAGCGACAACGTGGAACATACGGGGCATACGGGCCAACAAAGCCGATATCGAAGAATATCTGGCAGAATATGACGTAGACATACTAGGGCTACAACAGACACTCATAAGAGGCGGGACGAACATCAGATTCCACAACTACGTCATATACAGAAGAGACAGCCCAAACGGAAACGCCCGAACAAACGCAGGAATCGCGATACTAGTGAAGGAATCACTAGACCACGAATACTTAGGGATTCAAGACACCGGACTGGACGCCATCACCGTAAGAGTGAACATGAGGGACGGAACCACGCTCAAGATCACCACTGTATACAGGCAAAGTACTGTCAACATCACGGCAGAAGACATAGCTACCCTAATGATGGGAAGAGAATCCCAAATAATAATAGGAGATTTCAACAGTCACGCCAGAAGCTGGAACAGCAGGCAGTACTGTCCAAATGGAAGAACATTGGAAGCCGAGGTAGCAAGAAATGGGGGAACGGCCATCGGACCGGACGAGCCGATCCATTATCCCGACAATATGATGTGATTGACATAGCCATAATCAAGAACCTGCGAATGCCCTACGCCATAGCAACGATGAACGAAGGTAAGTACAAGGTAAGAAGGACGGACTGGAAAGCGTTCAAGGAGAAATGCGCACAAAGGATTAGCCTGGCAAGAAGACTCGTAACGAGACAAGACCCGGATGAAGAGATCGCCACCCTGGAAGGCACGATCCTGCAGGCCTATGAGGACTCAACGACTACCGAAATACGCAAAAAAGACAAAAGAATAGGCGGACCACTCCCTCCACATATCGACAGGAAAATCAGAGATCGGAGAAGACTCAGGAGAATCTATTGGAGAAATAGAATTGAGCAAAACAGAATAACCCTGAACCGAGCATCTAACCAACTGAAGGAGATGCTACGCCAGCACAGAAACAGACAATGGAAAAGAAAAACCGGAGACAACACTATGTGGAGAATGCAAAAGGTATTGCGGAATCCCAGGACCACGATTCCACCAATACACGGAGAAAATGGTCTAGCATACACCAGCTTAGAAAAAGCGGAAGCATTCGCGGACTGCCTGGAGCGCGAATGCAGGACAAACACCGAAGAAAACGAAGAAACGGAAGAAATAGAACGCAAAATGGCCAGACCAGCAAGGGAGGTTAGAGAACAGGATGACAGTGAGGAAGTCGCTGATCCAATAACCCCTAAAGAAATAGTTGCGCATATAAAGAACTCCAGAACGAGAAAAGCTCCAGGACCGGACCAAGTGACCAACATAATGTTAAAGAACTTACCAAGAAAAGGTTTCGTGGCAGTCACCAATATAGGCAACGCAATCCTCAGGCTGAGGTACTTCCCCGACGCCTGGAAGGAAGCCTCGGTGACTATGATTCCCAAACCAAGAAAAAAAACAGAACTTTTCCACAAAATTACAGGCCTATCAGTCTAGTAAGCAGCATGAGCAAGATCATCGAAAGAGCTATCCTCACAAGAATTAAGACCTTCACGGAGGCAATGCAGGTATTACCTGAAGAACAGTTCGGGTTCAGGGCAGGACACTCCACCTAAATGCAACTTCTAAGACTCGTCGAACAAGCCGCAGAAGGCATCGAAAGACAACAAGCAACAGGATTGGTATTACTAGACATAGAGAGAGCCTTCGACCGAGTCTGAAAACAAGGACTCGTGGGAAAGATGAAGACCATAGGATACCCCAACTGGATCTGCAAACTGACGGATTCCTATTTGAGGAATAGGAGGATCCAGGTGAAAGTAGGGCAAGAAAAATCGCAACCGAGGATCTTGGAAGCAGGAGTCCCACATCCCTCCCCATCTCTACACGATATTTACCCACGACGTACCGAAACTCCAAAGAACCGAACTTGGACCGTACGCAGATGATACAGCCTTATCATTCAGGACACCAAACGTAGATTAAGTAACGAGAAAAATGCAAAGAGCACTCGACGATTTGGAAAAATGTTGCACCAAATGAAAAATAAAAATAAACGCCAACAAAACGGAGGCAGTGCTGATCACGAAGAAAAGAACAAGACCCCGCGAAACACTCAACCTCAACGGAGAGGACATCGAGTGGAAGGACTCCGTAAAATATCTCGGGGTGAAGATCGACAAAAAACTAATGTTTAAACAGCACATAGACGACAATATAGCCAAAACCAGGGCAGTAG